GTCGTTTGCTGGTTGTTACGGAGAGGTTTGGAGGTGGGGAAGACGATGGGGAAAGGACGTGAAACAGCTACAGTGACTGCTGCTCGACGGGGTGGTCGTTTGGACGTGAAAGAGGAGGAGGCAATGCAACCTTTACGTTTTTTTTCTTTTTCGTTTTCTCCGGTTCCAAATGAAGAAGAAGGTCAATCGTCCTTCCTCCAAATTTTCCAAACTTTTTCTCTCCCCCCCCCCCCCTTTTCACGTTCTATCCCCTTTTCTTTTTGCAAATCTTGCTTTTTAAAAGTTTCCAATCCTTTTTGCCTTCTCACGTTCTTTGTTACACTATTCCAAGAAATGGACCTTACATGTGTAGGGGTCCAAGACTTGTGTCCTCCATGCGTGGTGGGGTTCCCCGTGTGTGCTGTTCCGTCCGTGTTCCCCACGCGTGTCCCCCATGTGTGGTGGGCTCGGATTATTATGGCTAGGTCCGAAAATTAGGCCTAAAAACGGGTAGTTTGAACCCAAATATTATTCTTTTGCCCGGACCCGAGAATAAGAACACGACGTTGTTCAGCTAATCCTATGTAAGCAAAATAACTACCAAAATAAGACTGTCATTTAAAACAAAACTATTTTTTAATATATTTTGTTTTCAAGATTAAAATAGCTACAAAGCATAAATAAAACTATTTTTGTCATTTTCGTTTTTATATAAAGACAAAATATAAAGTACTATTTTTGTATTTTTCAAGATTAAAATAGCTACAAAGCATAAATAAAACTATTTTTGTCATTTTCGTTTTTATATAAAGACAAAATATAAAGTACTATTTTTGTATTTTTCAAGATTAAAATGGCTACAAAACGTCAATAACNGTTTTCAAGATTAAAATAGCTACAAAGCATAAATAAAACTATTTTTGTCATTTTCGTTTTTATATAAAGACAAAATATAAAGTACTATTTTTGTATTTTTCAAGATTAAAATGGCTACAAAACGTCAATAACTTTTTTTTGTAATTTTCGAAATTATACAACGATAAAAATATAAAGTACTTTTTTTTTGTATTTTTCAAGTTTAAAATGACTACAAAACATTAATAAAACTATATTTTTTATAATTTTCGAAATTATATAAAGTACAAGAATAAGGTACTATTTTTTTGTATTTTTTCAAGTTTGTGAGAAATACATAAGCTAAAATTTATATATATAATTTTTGTAATTTTTCTTTTGCGACGAAATAAAGTAAAAATAGTCAAAATAGCTATATTAGACTCAATTTAAATATTCACGCTAAAAATGTGAAAATTCCCGGGGAGGGTCAAAAATCACACGTCTACAATGAGCATGCTTAAATATATACTACCTAATAATCAAACTAAAGCAGAGTATTATTTAATACATCACTACAAGATGCCTAGTTATGCAAAGCGACAGAAATTTACAGAATAATAATACATGAAATAGCCTAAATACAATCAGTAAAAGAAACAAAGAAAAAGCTAAATTAAATCTTCAAAGTTCCATTCTTCATATGTATTCATGCTTTCACATTTCAGCTTACAATATCGACAAGGTTACAACCATGTACCTGGTATTGGAAGTAAAAGAAGAGGAAGATCAGCATTAGCAAAGCAACAAGAACAATCAGCAACAACCGTAGCAAATTGAACACCCAGGGATGGATTTTAAAACCAACAGAGATGATTCCACATCCAATAACAGATTCAAAAATAATCCGACAACAATACCAATACCAGAAACCCAAGCATTCAATGAAACAGCCCTCCAAAACCAAAAGAAAACCTAGGAAAACCAATCTGAAAATCAGTAGTACCAAATGCAAACCACATAAACAGTAACAATATTTTGATCCTCAGTAGTAAAGAAAGGCTTCACTTTCAGTTTTTTAATTCTCAAAGACTGAATTTCTTAAGTTCTGACAAATCAGTTTTCTTTTCAACTTAAGCTCTGATTTTTTTTTTGATGATAAAATCCAGTCTATTTTTTTTAACTCTCTAACTCTGACTCTCCAAGATTTTTTTTTTAAAAAAAGTCCGTCCTTAATTCTGCCCAAAACTCTCCTTATTTATGTCCAAAAAACAGACCACTTTAAACAATTAAACAAATAAAGAAAAGGTCACATCTTCTTGAGCCCCGTAATCCCACTACTACATGTCTTGTCCCCCACTTTTATTAAACAAATATATTATTCTCCACTAACATATGTCTTGTCCCCTACTGTATTATTTTAATACCTTATTTTAATATTATTAGTGCTTAGTGGACAAAACACTCAAAATAAATAATTGTTCAAATTTTCAATTCCAAAAATACCCCTATGAAATTACTGAAATTACCATTCTACCCCTGAAAATACTATAATTTACCATTCTACCCCCATCAGCTATAACCAATTTCTAATCAAATTTCATCAACAAATTTAAGCTAGAAACTCAGATTATGTCAAATATCATCAAAACAAAGACTAAGGATTCAGGGAACCAAACCATATGATGAACAATAAAGAAACAACTGAAATCATTTTGACTGAACAATATTTTTAACAACAAACATACTTTCCGATTCAATAACAGTAACAAATTGAACATAACAAACAAGTAGATTCAAATCACTAAACTCAATAATCAATTGAACTTCAAATTAAATCTAACAACATTACAACCAAGATAAAGGATTCAAGTGATTAAACTAACACACTTCTATATTAAAACTAAA